CATCTTCATGAGTTTATTTGTGATATTTTGGTACATTTGTGATCTGTATATTGATGAACTTGGGACATTTAATTTATCCAACCTTTCAAGCATTTGTCATTTCTGTGCAATGAGAACACTGCTAGCCATTTCCTCCATCTATTTGGGATTACATGGCCCACTACTGAAACCTGTAACCACCCTTCTGGGTGAAAGTACACCAGGAGTCCTTCCCGCTTCCTGCTGTGATTCTGTTCCTGGTGATCAAATCCCCACCTTCTCCATATGCCCCACACATCACGCCCTGTGTCAACCAGTATTTCTCTGTTTCTTATGAGATCTGCTACTGTATTTTCCACATGGGAGTGACCTCCTGTAGTGTCTGTCCTGTGCTTGGCTTTGTTTCATTTCACATTAAGATCTCCTAGTGTATGGGTTTACTTTCCATCTGTATAACAAATCCCTGAGATAATTAACTTAAAAAGACAAAAGGGTTGTTTTGACTCATGCCTTTACAGCTTCTAGTCCATCCTCAGGTGTTCGCATGGCTTTTAGGACTTTCCTTCCCTTTAGTGGGGTCCTAGTTCCCTGTTTGCTCTTCTAGAAGTGAACTATTCCTGCACCAAAGAATCATATGTGAGTTCCATGGCTTCCCATCCAGCTCAGTATGTATATATCCTGCAAAGGTGTCCCCTAATGTTCTTCTGCAGAGTGCTAGATCCATTTCGGCCAGCTGAAGACATCTGCTGACATTAACTGATATTTTACACCCAGGTTTTCTGGTGGTGACAATTTGAATATTTTGAATTATGTAAGATATTGGAGCAACACAGGGGACCAGAGGCCCAGCCAAAATGATGGCAGCAGGCTGCTGTGGACTCAGGAATATCATAACAAAAGCAAAACAAAAAGAGAGTAATATTGCAAATATACAAAGTAATATTGCAAATATACAAAGTAACAATGCAACTCAAATAAGCAAAAATATAGGAATATTTTTGAAAAGCCAAAATTAATAGAAAAAAATAAATTTAAAAGTCCTCATTAGAAAAAATATAAAGATCAAGTATTTCAAAACAAAAATATCAACAGACAAGTGCTTTTTAAAAATTTAAAACAAAAATGTGTAAATGGAAGATCTGAAACAATAATACTACAAAAAAAAAAAGAAATCTAGAAGAAACAGTTCATAACAAAAGGATGGGCAAGAATTTTTTGATTATACCCTAAAACAACTGGCAAAATAAAATAGTCAAATAAAATACCTTCACACTACAAAGCACCTACACAACAAAGAAAACAATATCCAGAGTAGAGAGATAATATACATACAGTGGAAAATGTTTCCAAACTGTACATCTCATGAAAGTTACAGATTGTATAAGAAGACCTCAGACAACACAATAGCAAAAATACTAGTTCACTAATGAATAAAGAAAAATACCCACATAAAAATTTCTCCACAAAAGACATAAATAACCGACATATATATGAAAAGAATCTAAATAACAGTTATAATCACTGAAATTAAAATCAAAGAATGGCCATTATCAAAAGACAAAGGTTAATAAGTTTCTGATAAGTTGAGGAAAGGAAATACTGGGATACTCTCGGTGTGGATGTGACTTAGCATATCCATTACAGAAAATAATGTCTATGTCCCTCCAAACTTAAAAAAATAAAAGTAGTACATGATCCAGGAATCCAAGAAACACATCCATAGAAAATGGAAACGATATCAGTCTATCAGAGACACACTGGCATGCCCATATTTTGTGCACTATTCACAATCACTGAGACATGAATCAACCAAATTGTGCATCAAGAGGTGGATGGAAAAGGAAGGTGTGGTACATATGCAAAATAGCAAGTCCTAAATGGATGCCATTTGTATAAACAATGATTCATGCAATGTTGTTCTTCCATATTAGATATTAACACACATTTTTCAATTACAAATTTTCCATAATCTATATTTAATAATCCCTAAACTTATTTTTACTATTATTCCAAGACTCAGTTTTTTATTATGTAAATTGCTATAAAGGAACAAAATAAAACAACTTTGCCAATATTAGTTATAAAATACTTATTCATTCTACTGAAATAAGTGGAAACCACCAAAAAAACCCCTTAGACATGTGTAAAATACCCTAAAGGTAGAAAATGAAGCCCACTTCTGGGACACTGGCAGCAAGGGACTAACCCAGGGGTCACCCAGTGGTGAGGGGGTTGCAGTCTACGTTGCTCAGGGTGGGGTCAGGTCACCTGGTCACACACACGGAAGCCCCGTGAGTCGTCAACATTCAGTCTGGAGAAGAAACTGCTGCCCTGTTTCAGGTGTGATGTGATGGAAGCAGCAGAGAAAACCTCAAGGTTTGGCCATGAGTGAGGACATCAGTGTGCAGGCACTGACCAGTGTTAGACCCCAGGCATTGCAAGACCCATTCATAGGCAGGACTCAGGCATCAGACACTGTAGGACACTGAGCCACCTGAGCAGGGTCTCCTAGGACCTCGGGATGTTCACCCAGATCTAGTCCAGTGGGGGTGGAGGAGCCTGAGTGATATGCAAATTTCTGGGGGCCATTGAGTAGAAAGCTGAGATTCCCCTGACTCAGGCAGCAAGGGCCTCACCCCATCTGTCTCCCAGAAGCCCTGAGTTCAAACCCCACTCAGCATGGAGTGGACATGCAGGCTCATTTTCCTGCTGGTGGCTGCCCCAGGTAAGGACCCAGCCACCAGGGCTGCAGAGGAAACTGAGCCAGCTCCACAGTGCCTAACACCCCTGTGTCCTCTCCACGGGCATCCACTCACAAGTCCAGCTGGTGCAGCCCGGGGCTGAGGTGAAGAGGCCTGGAGAGTCAGTGAAGGTCTCCTGCAAAGGCTCCGGCTACACCTTCACCGACTATGCTATAAACTGGGTGAAGCAGGTTCCAGGGAAAGGCCTGCAGTGGATGGGCTGGATCAACACCAAAACTTCAAAGCCAACATATGCTGAGGGCTTCACAGGACGATTTGTCTTCTCCCTGGATGCTTCTGTCAGCACAGCGTATCTGCAGATCAGCAGCCTGCAGGCTGAAGACATGGCTGTGTATTACTGTACGAGACACAGTGTAAAAAACCACATCCTGAGCGTGTCAGAAACCCTGGGGGATGAGCTCGGCCAGGCTGGGACAACCTGACTCTGGTTTTTTTTAACTGGATTATGAATTCACAGGATGGACATTTAGGAGACTGATTTCAGGTTGTCTGCTGTACCAGTTCATTTTAATTGTCTAGACAAGTGTCTAAAGGAACCCAGGAGAGGTGATTAGATCATGATTGGATCCCTGATGTTCACAGATGAATGTAGTGTGGGTGGAAGGTGGGCCCCAGCTGGAGGAGGTGGCTCACTGGGGCTTTGGCTCTAAGGTCTGTCTTCTGCTTGTTCTGCATGTGCAGCCTCTGGATCTGTCTGGCTTCAGGGAAGGGACTGGAATGGGTTAGTCTGGTTAGAAAAGAAACAAAGATAACAGATTCATGACAGAATATGTCACATCTGTAAAAGGAAGATTCACAATTTCCACAGATAATTTCAAAGGCATTGCCTATCTGCACTTACACAGTCTAAGATCTGAAGACTCTGCCTTGTATTAGTGTGTGACAGAGAGCCATAGTGAGGGGACATCAATTGTAAGGTCTCACCCAACACTCCAGCAGAGGCACTTGTGACTAGTTGGGGGCACACAGGACACATTGAGCTGAGAGTCAGGCAAGGAGTAGGAGCAAAGTTGAAACCCATTAAAGGCTGATTTCCTGTCATTATCTGAAGATTCATCTCCATCTAACTTCTTTATAGACCTACATTTTCATTTACCAATTTGTTTCCTCAGAAAAATAAAATGGGTCATTGTAGAGAAATGGCTTATATCAGGTCTAGAACTGGCTCGCCAGCATTTGGAAGTGCCAGAAAGTAAGGAAGTTCTCAAAATCCAGAGTGAGGCTGCATGAAAGTGCTCAGCAGCATGAATACAGGTAAGCCATAGTGCTCAACAGTGAGGATGTGGGCCCATCACAGTGCTCCACAGTTAGACTCTGAGAGCATCAAAGGGAAATCAAGGGCACTCACAGGACAAAGCTGGAATAACTGGAGCAGTGAAATAAATGAAAGGGTATTGGATTCCATTCTCAAGTAGGAAGTGAATATACATGAATGCACAGAGATGTAATGACAATTGGATAAGTAAATAAATGACAGTGTGTGTGAGTCAGGATCCTCCAGGCAAACAGCACTTATATTTACCTGTGCATCTATATAACTCTCTACTTGTCTTTTCATCCATCCATCCATCCATCCAATGAATTTAGTATTTATTTTTATAAATAACCTTTTAACTCATGAATAAAATGAGGCAAACTGTGCAGATCAGGGGTTTCCTGTTATAGAGTTCACACATAGAGTTTCCCATTATGTTTTGTAGATATGTAAATGGGAGGAACTTGATGCCTCCAAAAGCAGAGAAATGATAAAGATATGGAATGCTAAATATCCAATTTGATCAGTGCACACTATATGCTTCTGATGAAATATCACAATAAACTCTCTTAATATTTACAATTCATGGAGACTAATAAAATAAATTATTTAATATTACTACTGCAATCACTAACTTTTAACTTTTCAGACCAGAATGCAGATAGTGGAGTCCACATTGTTGGTGTCTCTCAATGAGGAGGGACAGAGCTGGCCTCTGATCTTCACCACCACTTCCTCCTGAGACCTTAGGCAGTCCTTGACCTCAGGATGGAAGCTGTGAGGTGGATGTTCCAGGAGTCAGTTTCTAAGACAGGGACATTCACTCCTTCCATAGCAAGGATTTCTCTTTCTGCAAACCATTGAGTGAGTGTATCAGTTGATTACCAGGAGTCATGAAGGTTCTTGCTCCAATGCTACAGTAAATATTTCACTGAACCCAAAGTCCCCCAGTAGAGAGCAAGAAATGGACACTTCTGAGACATACGAGTGAGATCTTGCAGATCAGAAACTGGCCACTGCATCACTGAGCTTTTTTTTACAGCTGTCTGTTTCCTGCTCTGAGGAGGTGATGTTCCTTAATGTGGCTCCCCACGGTGGAAGTCCTAGGGTGTTCACGCAAAAACTCAGGTTTCTATGGAAAAATCAGGACTACGTTGCTGAGTTCTATTTCAACAAGGTTAGAAACTGACATCATGTGAGCAAAAGTATCAACACCATGCTAAAATCAAAGGACATGTTTCTTAGCATGAACATAATTCCCCTCCATAGAGACCCTTGAATGTATGGTACGAAATGCACTTCACCTGGACAACTATAAACCCAAGTCACATGAGTCACTCAAGCCTTCATAGCATAACAAACCTTGTGTCACTGTTACTTTACTCTGAACTAAATGCGATTGGAACATTTAACTCCTCCCATGATATTCTGGAATATAAATGAGTCTAGGAAAATGGAAATGGATTTGAGTTAAAATCCTTCACTTTAAACCACTATGTGTCTGTGTTTACCTGTAGCATCTATCATGTTGTATCAGTGCATCTATATGTACATAAACAAATGCTCAATACTAAACATGTACTGTCCTGCTAATCTCTAGGAGCTGACGTGTAGTTACTATGAGCCCTAAGCTTTTCTTAATCTGTGAATGTACTCAGCTCCATGAAGGATTGCCTGCTGCATGTCTTGTCCTGGAATAAGAGATCCTGGGCCTGGTGCAGGAGACCTCAGGGGAAGCACTGAGTTCAAAGAGGGCACAGCCAGCATCCTTCACTGAGCAGCAGGTCCATCAGTCCCAGCAAGGAACCTCACTTCTCTCCCTCTTGTGCATTTATATACAAATGTACGTTTTATATGAAAATACCCAACTGGGCGTCCAGATTAAATCACAGTCAACATTTGTTTACATGCAGAAACTTTCTCAAACCTGAAGACTTTTTGTGTTATTTGTAAAGCTAATCTGCAAGAACTTGGAGAAATCTTGGAGCCTCCTCTTTTTGGTGGTGGTTCATAGAGGTGAGTGTTCTAGGAATCAACCAAGATGACACGGGGAAGCTGCGTCTGACCCAGGACTCACTGTGTTCTCCTTCCCCAGGTGTCCTGTTCTAGATGCAGCTGCAGGAGTCAGGGCCTGGCCTGGTGAGGACTTTGAAAGCCCTGTCCCTCACCTGTATTGTCTCTGGTTACTCCATCACCTGCCATTAGCACTGGAGCTGGATCAGTCAGTTTCCAGGGAAAGGACTAGAATGAATGAGGCTCAGTGGTAATAGAGAAGACACAGCTTAAAATCCCTCCCTGAAAACATAAGTTAGCATTTCTAGAGACATGTCCAAGAAACAGTCCTTCCTGCAGCTGAACTCAATAACCTTGGAGGAAATGGTCGTATGTTACTGAACGAGAGATATGGTGAGAGGACATCAGCGTGAGCCCAGATACACACATCTCTGCAGGGGAGCTCAGGACCAGCAGGGGGCGAGAAGGATTCACTGAAAACCAGGAAGGATCCCAGGAGCAACTGCAGAGATGGAAGCTGGGGAATGAGGGCTTCCTGACCTTTGGGGGGGTCCTCTCTGTCTTAATATCATAAGAACTGCGGTGACCCTGGAGTATACACATCTACTTCAGTTGACTTATTAAGTATCCATTTCCAAAGAAATTAAAGAATATTTTTGTTAACACTCACTCTTATTTGCTTTTTTACATGTTCATTTATTTCCTTGTCTCTCTCATTTGAAATTTTTGAAAGCCAAGCACACATTTCATCATGCAAAAGTAAACTATAAATGTGCAGAACTGAGGTGTCTTTGGAATGTCAAGTCATCCTCACTTAAAAATGAATTTAGCCGGGTGTGATGTGTGCCTCCTAGTGCCAGCATTTAAGAGGATGAGGCAGGAGAATCAAACTCCTAACTCCTCACATGTGTGGTCCCTGAAGGCAGAGTGGAGGTCATGTTCTCACACTGAACTCGGTGTTTCTAAGAAGTGGGCCTGGACCTCACATTCAGCTCATCTTGTTATCCAAGGCACCCTCTACCTATTCACCCATTTCTGCTCCTCACCTGGGACCAACATAATCACTGACCTGCCTAGTAATTAAGGACTAAGATGGTCTTGGTCCAGGGTGTGCTGTCACAGGTGAACCTGCAGCATCCAGCTAGTGTGGGGACACACCTTTCAGGACACACAGTCACCTGGGATCTGGCCAGCCCTTAACTATTGCACTTCTGAATTCCTGCTTCCTGAGAGATCCTTGAAATCTCATAATTTCTTATGTGCATCAAATAGGGTCCTTTTTCTGTGTATTTTCTGGTTTAGGGATAAATATCAAATGTGTTTTCAACTTGGTTGGATCAGATCCTTGACTAATAATAATTTGAAGGTGATCTCTGAAGTTGCTTGTGGTTCCTGATCCAAGCTCATAAAAAAGAAAATATCATTATTAACATTCCGAACACTATGAAAACTTGTAAAAACTTAAAATCATCAGTTGTTATTGGACCCATAATAGTTGTGAAATAGCAAGGAGATCAACCACCCAAAAAAACAAACCACGACACAAGTTAAGGACTGAGTTGTAGAAATATCATCAGCTAAGCAACCAAGTTTATTATTTACAGTATCTACAATTTATAAAATTATACCACACATTTAAGTGAAGTTTCTTAAACTCTATAAGAAGAATCTATTTCCTACCAGGGTCCAATAATTTTCCAACTTGCTTCTGTGCCCTCTCTAGCAGGGCATTTAATACTCATTTATGTCAAATATGCATATAAAGAAATCTATAAATTTCTTTCAGACACTCCAAAATCCAGCCATAGACTCTGTAACTTAGAGAAATCAACAGCTGTACCCATATTTTGAGGTCTTGGTTAAACCCGTAATCATTTATAGATAATGAAATCTTGATAGATCCCTATATATGCTGCTAAAATCTTACAATCTAAAGTTAAGGGTTAAAATAACAAACACTGGTGAGTTTGAAGCAGACCAAATTCAAATTCAGTTTCTCTAAACTGAAAACCACTTGTCATGCTTCATGTGCAAGGTGTTTGCTACCTCCCCCAGTTTAGGAACAATGTTCTTTCCTTCCTTAGCTCATGGTTCTTCCTCCACTTTGAGATCCAGCACCTGAATATCATGTCTCAGCCAGGATATTGCTTTGTC